TTTAGCCACTTTCATATAATTTCTGCTTTTGTGTTTGTGAGTCCAGAAATACCTAAACACAGTGTGAGCTAGAATGCTGGAAGGGTTTGTGCTTGGAAAGAAAAGCTTTAAAGCATAAATAAGTTGAGTCTTTCTCCTTATCATGACATCAAGTACTGGAAGAGTGCAAGGTTGGGCTGATCTTGGTGTATAAAAAAGCAAAAAGTCAGAGATCAGGGAAGGGGGTTCAGAAGGACCCAGTTTCTATAGCTCATTAGAAACAGACAGTTTTATTGGGATCTGTGAATTGTCTTTCCAGTTTCCTGCCTGTTAAAGGCAGTAAGAGCATTTGTGGTTGCATAGCAAATAAGTTGGGGAGCAAAAGTCAGATACTGGGCCCTTAGAAGCTGGGAGTGCATTTATGTTTTTGTGGGGTATTTTTTAGCTACTGCTAGCTGAGCTAGAAGGATAGCTCCTGGTTTCCCTGGTCAGAGGGGCTATGGAGCTCCCAGAGAAGCAGCTCTCCAAAAGGAACTGGCTGAAGCCCATTTGCAGGAGGTTTTTTTTGTCCCAAGCACACCTATGTGCAGCCCAAATGTGTCACCATAAAACCTCTTGGCACCTACATGGTGCTCCTCAGCATAGAATTTCAAAGCACTGTGTGTGTGCAGGCGGCCCCAAGCTCCCCTCTGCTTTGGGGGTGGGGGGTGAGCTCTATGCTCTGTGGATTACAGAGCTGGGGCTTGCCGAGGGAGCTTCTACCACGTGTGAGCCTTTAACCACTGGGTTAAAGTATTGGGAATATTCTCTCCAAGGTTCTTATTCGTACCCTCAAGAGGTGATTTGACCTCCTTGCTCTCCTCAGGCTCTATGTCCGGGTATTGCTGCTGCTGGCAGCCAACACTGTTGCATCCTCTGTACACAGCAGGCAGAGAAGTTGCCATGCTCTTGGATTCAGGTGGAAAGCCTGCCCTGCTGAGTAAGGCTGTGCAATCCTCCTGAATCCTGGGCTAATGCCCTACCTGCAAGGCCTCCTCCTTTGTGTTGCTGTGCCTCCTGCTAAACAGAGCAGTATCATATCCTTCCAGCTGCCCCAGAACAGCCTCTGCTCCCTGAGGTAGGAAATTAAACCCAGAGACTATTCTCATCTCGTTGGTACCAGCAACTGCTCTCTCCAGCAGCACCAACTGACTGGCTGGTGGCATCAAAGGAGTTAACTGGTATAAAATCCATTATATGTAACTGCCTGTTCTGGCCTGCCTTTTTTCTTCCCTAATAAAAGGGTTAGGATGGATGTGGGGCTGAAATCCCTCCTTTCCCTGCCTTCTGACACTTTTAGCGCTCTGTGGTTCACCCGGGTCCCCCTCAGCAATTCACCCAGAGAGGAGGCAAGGGCACAACTCTTAACATGAAGAACAGCTCAGAAACAGCTGGTGAGGTCCAGTAATATCACATTATTTGGTGCCACTTGCTCATTTCTTTTGCCTTCAGCCTGTTTCTGGGCTGTTTGTCTCTGGCTCAGTGAAAAAGTGTGTATTTAAAGTCTGAAAATACTTGTTTAAAAGGCAGAAAAATGTACTTATGTGCAGCAGCTGATGGTAATCACCTCATCAGTAAACTGAGAGGGAAGGACTGGTAGTTCAATCAAATTTCAAGGCCTCCTGTAACTCGAGGCTTCTCCTTGGTTCTAAAATCCATTTCAATTAATTAATTTATGTAGAAGATCTTATAATGTACTTTATCCTTTTTCTCTTTAGCATATGAGGACTTTCTGCTGTCCTTTCTTTTTTATTGCTAGTATCATATCACATACTTAAGAAGTATGATTTCATGTATCTGAGAAGATGGAATACAGTAAAAAACTGTATTTTAGTCATGATAATTTCTTTAGGATCCATGTTCTGCTCTCCAAGTCAGCAAGGAATTTCAATGACAGGTTAACTTGCAAAAGGGTGAGCTCTTGGGGATAGAAGAGTTAATTGTGTAGTACTAACCCTGGTTCCCTCTCCTGTATCTTTTCAGCATGGTGAACAACTCTATCAGAGTACAATTTATTTTCTCAGCCATGGCCTTTCAGCTATTTTAGCTTTATTTCCATGTATATTTTTAACAAAATATAAAAAAGAAGAGGAACCTGAACTATATTCAATTTTATTGAGAATAAAATCCAACATTTAATAGCAGCACGCCTTGTACCATCTTGTACTGTGGATACAATAATTCAGATTATTTTCTCTGAATCAGTGAAATATGTGTGTCAAGGGGAAGAATTACAAAAGGTGGGGCTTATAGAGATATTTTATGTAAAGCAGAGCAAGAATTCATTTCTTTCTGAAGGAGAGGAACAAATCTGACACATCCTGGGACACCTCAGTCATGGGCAGGTATTAAACCTACTTCTTCCTCCTCTTCCCCCCCCTTAAGTGTTCCCACCATCTCCATAAGTAAAAGGAGAGGTCCCCTGAAAGGAGAGCAAACAAATTAAATGGCACATGTGTACAATCTGTTCTAATAAATGATCTCTATTGTGGATGTGGGCTTTGGCCCCACTGTGGCACAGGGAGTGATTTTTAGGGCAGCTCATTCCCCAAGGTCAGCTTAGATGCAGCCCTGTCCTGCTGGAGCCTGGGACCCTGGCCCTGGAATGCTGGGGCCAGGGAGTAGACACAGCCAAGGTTTGGTTCACTGACACAAAGGGAGTACCATGTTCTTCTGAGACTCACAGCCTTGCCTCATGGGTTACCTAGAGCTGTTGCTCCACCTTGGACTTGCCAGGAGACAGAGGAAGGCCCAGGGCATGTAAAAAGTTACAGCTCAGCCAGTACCTCTCTGTTTCACTGGGGTGGGGGGGAAAGCTGACTGAGCCACTTCCCCAGGGTGCAGGGTACCTTCTAGGACACTTTCTACACAGCATCACTCAGTTTTGTGAGCAGCAGCTTTCTGTGGCCATTAGTTATCAGTCTGTTTGCAGATGGGTAAACTGAGGCTGCAATGCTGGATGACCAGCAATGAAAGCAGACTCCTTATTTCTCTGCTTTAACTGTGACCCTATAGCCTTCCATAGCTGGAGAGATAGTCTCTACCTGTAGTTTCAGGTGTGGAACATTTAAAGGACAAAGTTAAAAGTCTTCCCATTAATAGATTTTGGTTCTTTGAGAAAGAATGTGGGAATGGGTATCGTGCAGTTTCAATCCTTTGCAAAACAGATCCAGATTGACCTTCCCTATGGGGAAAATTTGGATCAGCTGCACAGATTTATACTGAGGGATGCTCTCCTGCCATCAGTGTTGCCACCTCATACTTCTAATTTGACAATTTTAAAGGGCTTTAAAAATTATTCTACTTACATTCTTGCTGAAACTCTAAAGCCTGTAACAAATCCATCATGGGTTAGTTGCAAACAGAAGCATATGGGATATGCTTAAATGTGGTTACATCTGAATAACAGTAGTACCTGTTTACATTTCAGGGTCGTTGCATTTTTGTGATAGTGCTGGATTTCGTTCTGATTGCCCCAATACCATATACCATGTGAGAAGAGCACTGAATCAGCTTAGGCTCATCCTTGGAAGAAAAAAAAATGTATTAAGATAATTTTAATTCCTTCCAAACAAATAGGGAAAAAAAAAAACAGAGAATGGAGTTTTAGCTTTGTGGTTCTCTGCTACAGGATTTATCCACAAATCTAAACCACCTGCCCCAAAGGGATATGCTGATCTGTGGGGAGACAAACCTGTTACCTTCCTGCTACAGCTGCTGTGCTCTCTACACCTTACATCTCCCTCAGCAGAAAAAGCTAATATTACTTAATTAGCTCCCCACAGCTGGGGTTTACTCTTCTCTGGCTGGTTTCATAGCCCAAGTCTTATGATTCAGGCAAGGAAATTTAGAAAACAGGACATATTTTTGGTGGTGTGGTGTCCATCAGCTGAAAGTCAAAGTCATTAAACATTAAAGCTATATCCCCAGTTGTTTTGGTTTGTTGTTGTGTTTTTTTTAAATCTTTTGTGTGCATGTGTTACAGGGCTGTGACTGCCTGTAGGAAACAGCTGATCTGATGGCTTTTAATAGAATGACATGATTACCAGAGCCCTCCTGGATCTAAGTACACCTTGAGAATAGAACTTCACATCTTGGTGAAACCTGAATGAATTTATTTCATGTCAGAGAATAGGATATCTCAATCTAATCTTGTTTAAGAAATTTGATGTAAAAACATCTTCCATCATTTATCAGCATTGAAGAAGGGGTATTTTTACACATTAAATACAGAAAAATTATATACTTCTGTATATATTAATAAAGAAGAGAGAACTTAACAGCAATTTATCTATACAAAATGTCAGTTTGCTTATATTTTGTTTTCAATATTTAGCAGTCATCACTAGATTTTACTTATCTATCAATCAGATTTATAATACAGGATACAGATTATGACACACTTTTTTTTACATGCAAAGATGTTCTTACTATTACTTAGTTACTTGATTCTTAGGTACAGTGGAAATGTGGATAAATAGACAATACTTGAACTAAATACATGTTCTTCCTCATCCTATGATTAAAGTGCCTACAAATCGATACACTTAGTATTCTTATAAAGCTGTTGTCATTTTTTTAAATTCAGTTTAACACCTATGGATTTACTGTTGTCCTTATAAAACAAGCTCAGTCACAATAGTGATATGTAAATCCTAGGAAGATCAGCAGTTTGCTCTTCTTTTTTTACTTTTGTATCAGACTAGGTTTAATACTTCTCAAAAATTAAAACAAAATTATTATTAAAACAAAAAATAAAATAATAATTAGGAAAAAAAAAGGGCAAAGAGCAAGACTTGTGTCTCAGCAACCTGCAGCTCAGGTTTTCAGGCAATCCTACATCACCTTCCCGCATTGTGTCCCAGGTACAGCGGTGGCTCCGCTCCTCTCACCGGGCCCCACCGGGCTCTGACGAGGAAGAAATGTCGATGTTTTTGTTTGTAAAGGCCCTGAGCGTGCCGGGGCAGGCGCTCCCGCGGGCTCTACACGCGCTTGACGCCGTTGAGGAGCTCGGTGAGTTCGCTGATGTACTTGATGGTGTACTTCAGGGTCTGTATTTTGGTGAGGGGCTGGCCCCGCTGGCTGTAGACGGGGGGCAGGTAATTGCGCAGCGTGTGCAGCGCGTCGGCCAAGGTCCTCATGCGCAGCTTCTCCCGCTCGCTGGCCTTCCTCCTGCGCTGGGCCGACATCCGCACCTTGGTGCCCTTGGGCAGCCGGGCCTGCCCGGGGCTGGGCAGGAATGCCGGCGGGAATTCCACCAGGCCGTAGCCGGCCAGGCCGCTGCCGCCGCTGCCGTAGGGCGCCTCGGCCGCCGCCGGACACGGGGACGAGGAGTAGGACTCGAACGAGGGCGTCGGGGACAGGCTGTGCGGGGGAGAGACGGGGTGCAGCTCGAAAGGCCCGGCGTTGCTTTTCCAGTCCCAGGATGACAGACAGGCGGGGTGTTCCGAGCCCAAAGCATCTTCCATGTTTATCAATGTCTCGTGCAGTTTGTCCATGCTGGAGCAGCGCTCGGAGAAGCGATGCCCTCTGGCCACCAGCAAAGGCTGGAGCCGGCGGCTGCCGAGACCTTTTTATGATGGAGGGAGGAAAGTGACAGAGTGGGAACACGGGCTTGGTGCGAGGAGTTCAAAGGAGCGCCAGAAGTGCTAAGATAGAAAATGAACTCCTGATGTGCTAGTTTCTTCTCAGTGATAATTATCAACCTTCAGCTAAAAAGCCTTTAAGCTAACAGGCAGCAGCAAGAAAGGGAGAAAAAAAGATTATCTTCTTGCAACTAAACCGATTAGGGCTGCGCATCTACACTGAGCGTTGGGCTGGGGGGAAAAGTGGGAGAGAGGAAAAAGAAAATTAACCGTTTTACAAAACAATTTACAGATCCTGAATTTATTGGTCACTTACACAAACCTTAAAATTAAGCCATTGAACCCTGATTTCTGGGTAACTGAAGGTGATGGCACTATGGCAAGAGAAAATGTGAGCCCTGCTGACTGCTGCTGGGGCAGTCTCTTACCTGCATGATAATTGTGAAAGTCAAAGATGGTTTGTTTGGATTTGTGTGCGTTATGGCTCTCTGTGGATTTCTCATGAGATTGCAACTCATGAGAAACCAATCACTTTGGTTTTCAATATGAGAAAGGGGGAAAGAGCTGCAATGCATTCCCCTGCAGTTTGTAGTTTTATGTGCTATTTTAATACATGACTGGGAAATCAAAAAGGAAATCTATAATTGTAAACAAGGTCAAAGTCCCATTAAAAAATAGGAAAGCGTAATTAAAAAGAAAGGTCTAGAAAGCAAAATATACAGTGTATATGCTTTGGGTCCAGACAAATGTTTTCTGTGGAATTCAAAGTAATATACAGGTTATATATGTGTTAGAGAAGACTAGAAGCTACTTCTGTAAAATTTTCTACCTCTAGGAATCTGTTCCTCTGGCCAAAACAGCCTGTTTCCAGTCCCAGTTCAATGCAACAGTGGTTACATGTTACACAGTTCAAGTGAAAATGTATAACTTATAAATTAATATCATTAATAACAAGCACTTTTCATCTCTGGGCTATAGTACAGCTTATAGTGATGATTAATGTTCTCTATTACTCTGGGGAAATGGATAAGTGGAGGCAAGGAGGAACTTTCCCCAAATCACACAGCAAAGCATTAGGAGAGCCAGGAAAACTGTCCAAAACTCCTGAGCTCTGCAGCTGTTGAGCAGCTTGGCTGCCAGCCATGACTTTGTGTTGGCACATAATGGAAGCAAAATGTAATATATAATGAAAAGCAAGGGAGAAAGAGTGTCTACCTGGAGGAAAAAATAAAAGTAGGATTTATTTTAGAGTTTCCTTCTGTGCAATGATCTCTGTATGCTCCATAATCCACTCCAAACAAAGGCAGGGAATACCTCACAATGGCACGCAGCCAAAGCATGCTGAGGTTTTCTGGAACATGCCACTTCCTTCTGTGAAATCCTCACTACAACCACACAGAAAAACCAATCCAATATTCAGTATACTTAGCCACTGGAAAGGCTTTTGTGAGTTTTTATGAGTTAGGTATCAAAATGTTGGGAGGTGTCTTATGGGAGACTTACTGGTTTTACAAATATATATTAGAAACTAACAAAAGGTAAAGGACTTTTGCATTTCAACCAGGGCTGAGAAAGTTTGACTATTATGACATCTATCCCACACAAGAACTCAGGGCACAGCTCCTACAGACAGGATTGCTTTTTGTTTTATGGCTACTTCATCATATTCTAGCTCTTCTCTGGTCCTTCTTTAGGGAAGTAAGATAAAACACTCCTAAGAAACACAGAGAGGCTAAAACTGCTAAAACCGAAAATTAAGACGACAGATATTTTCTGTGACTTCAGTGATCTGAATGGTTTCATCAAGTACCAAGACAATGGTCACAATGTCACAAAATCTAATTTTGCATAAATAAGGAACTTGTCTAACTCTTTTTCCTCCGTATATTTGTGTTTAGAGTGTCTTTTCCATTTGATAGAGCCTCTGCTCTTATTTCATATCTTTATTTTTTTTCCTGTTAACACAGCAATTAAAAGACTACAAATACAAAAATGCAAGGAGAGAGAGGTGTAAGAGGAGGCACTTTTGTCATGATGTGAAAAGGAAAAGAAGCTTCCCAACATATGGATGTATATGTGTATGTATACATGTCTGCATGTACATAATATATGCATATGGAATATATAAATATATTAAAAATACACATAGTGAACACATATATAGACTTTTCTGTACAGCAGTTTTCATTTTGGAACCAAATAGTAATTTAATGCATTCAAAATTAGAAGCAAAATCTTCAACAAGTCACCTGTTTCCTGACTATAAATAATGCACCTCACCAGTTAATTTATGGGTAAATCATAGAAAGTGTTGCTCAGACACCAAGGAGGGGGAAGATTTTGTGCATGTCCAAGACTTTGTACAGATTTTTACTGTGAATGAGAGATTAACACATTCTGTTTTCATCTCTGCATTCTTAAATATTGGGATTCAGGTGAGATTAGACAGGGAAGAGGAATGCAAATTATAGCAATAGCTATATCTTTTCTTATATTTTATGAGTAAATGTTTAGAGCAGCCAAGGCAGGATATGAGCGTATGTAGACAACAACTACTGGATCTTGTAAGCTTAAGCTCTTGTGAACTGTTACACAAGCAAGAAAAAATTACAGGCTTTTCTATACTAATAGATAATATGGGGCTAATGCCTTGCAGTTGTTGTGCATCCTTTTTATAACCATTGTGCTCCCTGACACTGTTTTTGCTTGGACACACCTTTTTATGTCCCAAATGCTGCCTGACTGTGGCCCAGGAGAGGCCACTGAGGGCACAGGGGTGAGCAAAGGGTTTCATCAGACTAAAGCAAGCATTGCCACAGCACATCTTCAGAGCCAAAGAAGGGACTTTGCCCTGTTTGCTGTGCTGGTGGAGATGCAGACAGAGATTCTGTTTGGAAAACTAGCCACCAATTCTGGCCACAGCCCCCAGGTTCCCTGAACAGACTCAAATTCAGTTTTGGCTGAATTGGGAAGCTGTGTAACACCTCTCCATGGTCCTGGTGTGATCCATAGCCTGTGTAAGTCAGCAGAGTCTCATGGCATGTAGCTGTTCTTGGATTAAGTAGTTTTGGACAATGCTACATTTGCACCCACAAGAATGAGAAGTCTCACTTACGAAATTATTTTGCAAAGTACAGAAAACTATAACATACAAAAAAATCAATGGGAATGGTAGAACAGTTCTCAGTGTTATTTATAACACTTTAAAAAGTGTCATACAGAGGAAGGCATGGCTACAGGCTGGATACCAGGTTTATTTTCTAAACCCTGTGACAATTGGATGCTCTCATTAAAGTGCTAAGAAAGTCTAGTATTTCAGATGGCCTCTTCCTAGACAGAAAAAGGCAAGAAAAAAAAGAAAAAAAAGTTTTGTGATCTTTGTTTTATTCTGTCTCCTGAAAATTTTAGTAATTTCCTTTCTGTCCAGTACTAATGTCAAAACATTGAAGGAAAGTGAGATCCTAGGCTAACACCCATGAAATATGAACTGACAAAAAATGATAAGGCATTTTCTTCTTGACTGATAGTTTGTATTTTCATTTCAGTAATCTATTCTGCAGTACAAAGACTAACATCTCAATATTCATCTCCTTTAAAATGAAATCTTCCCTGCTTTTTTTTTTTTTTTTAATTCATCATAGAAACATGGAAGCATGGAAGGAGCAAAAATTTTTCCATTAAAAAAACCCAAACCACTCATGGCATAGAAAATTTCTAGAGCTTCTGGTTTAAAATGTAAAATAAGAAATAACACTAATCTCATCACAGTCAGCCTCCTTTACAATCAAGACAGAAGTCTAGGCCTATTTTTCACAAGAAGCAGATCATACTAACATCCTTGTAGAGCACTTAGATGATACAGTCTCATCTTGCAGTTTGTAATGTAGAAAAGAAAATCAAAAAACCAGAAAAACAAAACATCTCCCAAAAGCTTTAAATTCTGTTCACCTCCTCTTTTATAATCAGTTCCCCAAGTCTTGGCTGCACGGCCACCCACTCACAGTGGAGGTGTCTGTGGCCATCCTGCCCCAGCAGCCAATCGCCACATATAAAATGTGGGGAGAGCAGCTGCAGGTCTCACTAACTTCAGCAGACGCAGCAGGTGTTCAACACTTCTGAAAAACAGCGTTGAACACCTCTGTTTACACCCAAGCCAGCAATAAAGGAAGGAAAGGATCCACCACATTTGTTATCCAGACTCACATTATCCACCAGACTATGCTTCTCTCCTTTTTAAGGCTTTGCCTCAGTTTGAACAGAATAATTTTTTTTAGAATTTTTAGACCTTGAAACTTCCTTCCTACTTGTGGAAGAGGGTTTAATCTGGGTCCAATCTCAACCGAAACAAAAAAGACTTCTAAATGAGCAAGCTGGCCAACAAATCCTTATATTTAGGGATTTTTTTGAGGTCAATATGCTGAAGACTGCAGATGCATAGCCACTTAAAATTCCCAGACAGAAAGAAGGCAGTAAGAGAACAAGAATTCTTGTCCAGTCCCATAAGAGGGAGCCCAAAACCCTTACTATAATCATATAACCGTTACTATAATGTGTAAATTGGGTGTCTAATTGTCATTAGACAATTAGAGCATCTTTGGTCAAGCAAACCTGTGGCTAGCACAAAAAAAATGTTGTTATTAATTTGTAATGAGACCAGAAATAATCTAGTTCTAATGCTGTTAAAAAATCCTGCCATAAACATTTAAAACTTTTAATGTTTTCAAGGGCACAGATCCAAAATATCCAGACTGGACCCTGCTCATGGAGAAGGAACAGTCAAGTGAGTATCACTGATTTCTCCAGGGCTTTGCATAGTGAACAAGCATCTCTCTGGTGTTTGGCTGGCAAGATCAGGACTTATCTATTTGCTTTACATCCTCAAATGTAAGTTTTTGATCCTCCAAATAGTGTCA